CTCAGCTTTCCTGTCTTCTTCAGTAAAAGCTAAAAATGTCCTCAAAAATACGTTTTAAATTATGGGAAAGCAACTACACAAAAAAGCCCCAAATGTATATTTTAAGTAATTTGATTACATGTAACGTTTTGATATAAGTTACAATGTGAAAAAAAATAATTTTAATGGAGTCTGGTCCATTGAAATTAACTTAAATAAACCTTTAATTTGATATAATTTTGTGCTACGCTGTGGGCTCTTGCTGAATGAGCCACTGATGAAGAATGTGAAGAGTGGGAGAAGAGGGTTGCATTGACAATCCAACACAATGGGCAGCACATTGAACGTGTTTTATAAGTGGTCAGAAACTTGTAAATAACTCATGAAAGAATAAAGTTACGCTGAAATCAAGCACACCATTGTTTTTCTTGTGACATTACCAATAAGTTTGATGTGTCACATGGCCCTCTTCCTATTGAAAAAACAAAAGTTGTATCCAAGATGGCCGACTTCTAAATGGCCACCATGATCACCACCCATCTTGAGGAGTTTGCCCCCTCACATGTACTAATGTGCCACAAACAGGACTTTAATATCACCAACCATTCCCATGTTATTACGGTGTATCCATATAAATGGCCCACCCTGTACACCTTCATGCTGTTTAATTCTTGACATTGTGTACCACATCACTTAACTTGAAATTTAAAAAAAAAACAAAAAACTTTATCAACTGTAATCTTTTTCACTGAGCTTTAATTCAAGTCTTAAAAGTAAGATTTAGCATCATGCTAGTAGTGGTATCCAAGAACTTGTGTAAGGTTCACACTAATGCCTTCATACTCTCCCATACTGAGATTTATGAACCTCAGCTCTAACTGTTCACCTGAGGCACTGAACCAGATTGTTGGACACATCCCATCCAGCTGCGTCTTCTGGCCTCAGGTGGGAGCTTGTCCTTGTTCGCTGTCCTAGGTGCTGAACAGGAAGCAGGAGGGCTGAATATCTCTCCAGGATCTGAACTCGTGCCAGTGCCCAGGGATCAGTAAAGCTCTCCATGCACTGTCACAGAGGACCTCAATTTGTCAGTGTGATGGTTAGTCTCTTAAAACCCACTGGAATTGTTATACAACTGCATCACTGGGGACTTTCCGCACATACCTCTTCAATATGCTGAGTCACAGTTGCAAATATACAAAAACAAGATGTATCTGTGTATTTTTTGTCAGACTGGCACACAAAGCCAGACGCCGGCAGACACAACGTACTGTAGAGCAGACATGAGCGCCATTCTTGTTGATTGCTGTTAGTTTCATCAGAATTACTTTGGGTGTTTGGTTTCATCAGTACATCTCTCACGGGTGTGCATTTGTGTGTGCTCGAAACAGCTATCTGAGAGAAAAATCAAATGAGATCACAAAGAAATAATGGAAAATCAGGACTAAAGCTGCAACACGCTCACCAGTAAACAAGTAATAAAAAAAAAGGTTTTGGTGTGGGTATATGATCCCGAAAATGTAGTTTGAGATATGCAGAGCACAAGAGTCCTGTCTCTGTTTTCATCACTGTTTGCAGGTGGAGGATAACGGACCAACCGCATTCGCTGGAAGATTTTTTCCAGGTACTGTGCTTCCTGTCAAAGCTGTTGAGGTCCCTCATATACACGGAAGGTGGTGTATCCTGCGGTGTCAGTGCGTCGACACCACAGTGAGATGGGTCTGTCACTCTCAGCTTGTCACATATGATCACACAAAGGATCCGTTTAATTTTTGAATTCTGAAGATAGGGGTCATTTTTAACACACAACACTGATGCAGAATGGCACTGACACAAAACATGATCTTCTCAAGACATGACTAAAAAGTCTCTTGACGTGTCTTGGGATGAGAATGAATTAGATCTAGAGGCAGTAGCAAAGCTTGTGCTGTAACACTACTACTACTATTACTACTAACATAACTTTATAAGAGGCCAGCTAACCAGTGCCCCCAAACTGCACCTGATAGGATACATACTTGAATATTTATTATCCTGAGTTCAAACTGTGTTTCTGTCATTGTGGAAAATGGCGAAAAAACCCAGAATGATCCCATAAAGCCAAATTTTATTCACAATGGAACATAGAAAACATTGAAAATATTTAACTGACAAAGTGTACCATTATAAGAAAAAAAAAAATCAGATTATTCTGAATTTAATGGCAGCAACACACATCAGCATCCCCTCTGCTTTTAAAAACAGTCCAATTCCAGGAAAAGGAAAACCAGCTGCTGGATTTCTTGGGGAGGAATTTTGGATTTTAGAATTCTAACTGCTCAGCAGTCCTGGGTTGTCTTTGTCATATTCTTCATGTCATAATGTTCCAAATGTTTTCGGTTGATAAAACGTCTGGACTGCAAGGAGACTAGTTCAACAGCTGAACTCTTCTAAACTTGCTGTTGGAATTGATGCAATATGCCGTTTAGCATTGTCTTGCTGAAATATGCAAGGTCTTCCCTGAAAAGGACATCAAGTGGATTGGAGCATATACTGCTCTAGAACCTGTATATACCTTTTGGCATTGATGGTGCCTTTCCAGATGTGACAACAGAACAGTGTTCCATTTCTTTGCATGACAGAGCTTTACCCTGGATTTGTGATCCCATGCACAATGTCTGTTTGTGGAAGATCAGAGACTTCCAATATTTGGATTTTTTATTTTTTATCTAGATTATCAAAATCTTTGATGATAATATATATTATACATGATGGGATACTGAAAGTCTTCATAATTTTATGTTCAGAAATTTTATTTCCATAATTTGCAGATGCAGTTTTTTTGCAGATTGGTGAACCTCTGCCTGACTTTACTTCTAAGAAACTTTGCCTCTCCAAGATGCTCATTTTATAGTTAAGATAATTATAGTTGCAAAATATTCCTCAGGCTGTTTCCTTTTCGTCCTCCCTACTTTTCCAGCGTTTATTAGCACCCATCCCATGGAAAGTAAAATGTTCCATTTAGATGTGATTTTTTGTTGATAACATTTGTTTTTTATGTTCGTTTGTCAATAAAACATAACTTTATTAGATTTGTAAATCATTGCATTCTGTTTTTATTTACACAGCGCCCCAACTTTTTTTGGGGGGGGGGGGGGGGGGGGTTGGGATTGCAGAATAATTTGTGTGGAAATTTTTTTTATAAACTGAGTAATATTTTTTCATGATGCTGTGATCTCCCTCTATGCTGTTTGTAAAGTGGTAGAAATTAGTCCCAGAGTTTGAACTCTGAAGTTTTGTTATGGACTCGGGATTCATACTCTTGGAGTTTTAAAAACTAACTGATTTTCAAGCTCTTGTGAATCAAGTATCGTGTTCAATTTCCCTAGTACCTGAGTTTTTGTATTTATATTCCTAGTCCTAAGTTCCTTGTTTGATTTAGTTAGTTCTCTTTTGTCTATCTTGGTCTCATCTCTGCGCGTCAGTTTGGCCTCTGTGTTGGTTTCTCTGTCTGTCTGTGTCTGGTCTCCAGCTCAGTATTTGTTTACCTTTTTCTTGGTGTCAAGTCTGCATTTCTGTTTCCTTGTTCGGTTATTTCCTGCTTTACTTTGGCAGGCTATGTTCACGTGTCTGTCCTTGTCTCATTTGTCAGTCATTTCCACTGGACTCAGTCTGCTTCTCCAGTCGTGTCTCCGTGTCTGCTCTCTGTGCCCTGTTTCTGTGGCTGTCTGGTGAATCTTGTCTCCTGTCTGTTTGTTTACTCCTCCCTGTGTGGCAAATTTGTATATTTGGAGTCTGGGTCTCTGTCTATGTTTATTTCTTGTCTTAATTTGATAGTCTGTCATCCTGTGTGCGTTCTATTCAGTTTTGCTTCGCCTGTCTCCTTAGTCTGATGTAGTTCACCTGTGTCCCTGGTGTGTTCCATTTCCCTGATTACCTTGTGTGTATTTAAGCCTTTAGTTTCCCTCTGTCTCTTGCTGTGATCTCCCTCTATGCTGTTACAGTTTTTGGCAATAAAGCTGAGTTTAAGCTAAAGTCCTGTCTTCAGTATGCAGACTAGAGAGTCCATAATTGAACCACCAACCTTCCAGTTGGTGGATAGCCCACTTTTCCTCCTCAGTTACGAATGACCCCCCACCCGATCCAAAAAGACTCAACATACAGTGTTGGCCTAACTTTTTGTGATACATCTTACAGAAGAAAGAACACGTGTGTTTGTGTGTGTTGTGCCCTCTCTGTGTGCCCTACATTTAAAGCAGTCCAGTCCAATGTTAACACCAGCTGCTGTCTGTATCTCTAATTATAGCCTCTGCAGTACAGGCTCACAGGGCAAAGCTGGGGGGGGTCAGGTTACTCCTTCTGAAAGCTCTCGCAAGCAGACACAAGCATACACACACATCCTTGTTTAAACTGGGCCTCCAAAAAACAGTGTCTGACAAGGCCTAAAATCTCACATGGGGCTCAACTAGGTATTTATTCACTTATTTACTCTTCACTTTGACCTCCATTTGACAAGCCTGGGCACTGAGGAGGAAACATGTTTCCCCTGGAGCAAGTCTGGGAAAGGCTGGGAAATTTAGAAAGTTTAAAGTTTTAAGTGCTTCTGTTTTCTTGAAGTTCTTGTCAAGGGCACACAGTGAATCTGCTTGGACCCCTGAGAATCTTGTAAAATGTACTTTTGTCAGTGTTATCGAGGAACCACCAAGCATTTAATCATAATAGTACTACTTAATTCAATTTGCAGATGTAAAGGAATTGTCTTTATATTTGTTTACAGTTAGGAAGCCAGTGTGGGTGAAATGAGGTGAGGAAATGGGCCTCTCAGAGGAAACACTGATGAAATATCAGCTGTTCGCTGGTGATTAATAAGCTCTGTGTTTCTGGGATATGTGAGTAGGAGACTTTTAGACCTTCATCTCTTCACTGTATTCTCTTCCTGCCTTTTTCCTTGTTCTTTAAATCTTTTGTTCCTTTTACACCCTTTCTACATTCCTTGCTCCCTCTCTCTCTCCCTTCCCTATCTGTCTATTTTGGACCCTCAGAGGGGCTGGGTGACTCTCAGTGGGTCAAACTCCGTCTCCCTGCTTCTTTCTATCAGTCTCTCCCTTTCTGTCCCACTCTCCCCAGCACTGAAATCTCAGAAACCTCGCCCTGGTAACTTTTTGGGACACAAAACTTAGTTTCTTGGATTTTATCCCAGTTTCACACCACTTGTGGGAAAGTTTTTGTGTATTTTTAGACCCGCTGTGATCTGGCTTAAGACAATTTAATGTGTTTTTCTCATAATCGACTCGGGTTAAAAACAGGACTTGACAAGGAGTTACATACTTGTTTCTATGGTAACACAGCATTCCCAGAGCCCTTGAAGGACTGAAGATTATCAGTGAACATCCAGCAACTTCAAAGACTAAGGTACTTTAAAAATCCATTTCACTCTTTTAAAACTTATAAAAGTAATAAATTCAAAACAGAAATGTGAGTGTTTGCAATCCACCCAGTTACTCTTTTTTTAAATTGTCATTTAAAATAGATATTAGGTAACTAACAGCCAGTGAGATGGCGCTATTAATAACATGGAGAACCATCTGGGCCATATCTCTTATGTCACTGTTTCCTCTTGAGGTTTTGAAGGGACCACAAATGGTCTTTTAAACTGAGGGTCAGTTTAAAAATGTGTTTTTGACATTGTGATTAGACATTAGTGGCTGTACAAAAGTCTTGAGACAACCCTCATTCCTTTTAATTTTGAATTATAGGAAAATGGGAAATATGTGCGGCTGGAAAATGGGAAGTATGTGCACACATGAGGTGTAGACTATAAGACTCCCATTTAGATGCTATTCATTGGTGTTGGTGATCGTGTCACAGCTGGATAGAAAAACAAACAATGAACACTATCAGTCATGGATTCTTCACCTTCACCAAACAAATTTCAGCCACAAATCATAACAGAGCCTCCATCATGTTTTACTGATGACTGGGTTCACCACTCCTTGGGACCTGTTACCACTGATTTTCACTCTAAATCTTATGTAATTTCCTGTCCCTCAGCCTTTCCTCCCTATTTCACTTCCTTAAGAATTGTTTCTTGATAGTCTCCCTTCCATTGAAACCATTTCTGGTCAGGATTCAGTGAACAGTAGATGGATCAACTGAAGCCCCAGATTAATCTCTCAGGTCCTGTTTTGGGGTTTTGCTGGATATTTTCCTATTTCTTAAGGGCACGACTGTTTCTCTGTTGTAGACAGATTTTACTCGTGATAGTTTTTCTTATCCTCCACTTGTCCAGTTTCCTCAAATCTATTAAGGACAAACTGCACACCATGCAGAAGTATAGCAAGTTTTCAGGTAATAGCTCTTTAGGAGTCCCCTTGTTGGTACAAAAATACTCTCATATATCTGGCAGACTGTGCTATCTTTGTCATTTTCTGTAGTTTCAATGAAAAAATGCAAACAAACTATGCATTTTTCTAACAGGCTGCTACTAACAAAGTGCCTAAAGAGACACATTAAAATTGATCCTTTGCTAAGTTGTCTGTTATAGGTCGACACAACACTGCTTCATCCTTTTACTGAGGTGTTTTTTGATCCTTGAATAATTCATTGTCAGTGTTAAGTGGCTCAACAAACATAAGAAACTTTGTGAAAACGGTCTGGTACAAGGACTAGAGTGAAAAAGCATGAAAAAACAGAAAAACTTTGAAAGACCTTCTGAAAGCCTTGAGACCTACTGCTCAAGACTGCAAGTAAAATTACATTAAATTTCTCCTTCATGACTTAATTCTATATGATGACCAGTTGCTCTCTTTCTGCATGGATGTAATGATATTGAGCACTTACCTGTAATTTGTAATTCCAAAACCAACATGTCTAAAAACTATAAAGTGTCCTAAATGTACTATGCTTTGAAATTAACAGTTGTCAAAGATGGAAAACCACAACCACTGTCAGCACAAAATCTAGTGAAAAAGCAACTTTTTGCTCAGCACTGTTGTTAGGACCATAATTCATCCTTTATGCCCCCATTAAACCTGTGCCTACCAACCCTTTTCACTTGTGACCCCCTTAAAATAGAGCTACGTGTGTTATTTATTAAAGCCTGCAGAGTTCAAAGAATCGAAATTTCCAAAAGAAAGGAAAAAGATATATTCCCCTTTCTTTCTTTCAAAGCATCTTGGGGTCTCTCTAACATGTCTTCGTATCCATAGGGGGTCCTGAACCCCAGGTGGGGAACAACTGCATTTGAAAACACTCGCTCTGATGTTGAAACAATTGCCTTTCTTCTTTCTCACGCTTTACTCTTTTTCCTGTTCCTCTGTGCCATCAAATAACTTGTAAAATAGAATAAAGAGAAAAGACTCACATATAAATAACTCTTCATTTATCGTGCCCAGAAACTGAACCACATGTGCAAATATATTTTCACCTCCATGCAGTAAATCCATGATAATTTTAGGAACTTATCATCCTGATAACAAGCATTTATCAGTGGTTTGGGTTGTATTTGGTGCTGTATATCAAAGTAACGAGGACAATAATGCAAAAAAACCCCCCAAAAAACCCTGCATTCACACTCATGAACATCTGGGCTTTCCTGATGAGATAAACCGTCATTTGACGGTGAAATAAAAGCAGCTCAAAACTGGAAACATTACTAGCAAGTTTACTTTGTAAGCAGTACTGTGCTGACTCCTCCTTACAGCATTCGGTGACTCAGAGTTTTGACCAAGCTGTTGTTGTCTTTCATTTGCCCTTTCATTTGCCAGTTAGTTGTCGGCACCCACATTGTTCTAATTCTGCTCATTCCTTTGTCGTGGAGGAGGAGGCAGCACCAGTCGGCCATTGTGTGTGTGAGTGCAGATCAAGCTCAGAGCTCGAGGGTAACAGCAGGTGGGCTGGGTCGTCTGTATTTGAAGGCGGATATATACACGCAAAGTGCATTACATTTCTTTCTCTTTGGTGCATTTCTCAGATCAGAAATGTTCAAAAACAGTTTGTTGTTGTGAAAGCAGTTTCTTTATCTTCTGAATGCTTTTCCCAGTTGGTGTAAATTATTATTCATGTCTGCTGTATTAATTGGGTACGGTAACCAAGATGTATTATACATGTTGGCAGAACTGTGCAGTCGCCTCAGCTATTTTCATCTTCTTTCTTTAGCTGCCACAGCTGACCATCTTCCTCCACCTCACCCTATCCCTAGCATCCTCCTCTGCTACACCAGCCTTCTGCATGTTCTCCACATTCATGAATCTTCTCCGTGGTCTTCCTTTTTTCCCATTTTTGCCTGGCACCTCCATGTTCAAAATCCATTCCCCAATATATCCACTGTCCCTCCTTCTTACATGCCCAGACAGACCAAGTTTATCTCTACATCACTCAACCTGAGCTGTCCCTTTGATGTTCTCAAATCCATATTGTTTCCACATTACAAGAGATACCTTTTGGAAAGTCTTTTCCAGCATCTACAGTTGTCTGTGGTGATGTAGTTTTAGTTATTTTTGGGTGTGCCATTCTTTAAAAAAAACCATTTTCTTTAACCTCCTAAGACCCAGCACGCATTTTTAATCTCTTTGCTATTTGGGCTGATTGGGACCTGATGAATGTAAAAACAAAGAATTACCAGATTTTTTTTTCTTTTACAGATTTTTGTTTCTGAGAAAAATGAGATCCACATATGAGGATATTTTTTTAAATTTCAATAGAATAGTGGCAGTATAATGTCCTCATAAGTGGTCATCAGGCTCTTGTAGAGCAAAATTTAGTATTTTGGTCTCGACAACCCAAAATGTTATGTCCACATATGTAGACGCCAGGTCCTAGGAGGTTAATGTATCGTATTGACATGATTTATCACTGTAAAAACAAAACCTATAAAGTCTCCTGTAATCAATCTTCCACTTACAAAACAGATTTCCAAAAGAACAAGGGAAGTGTTTCCGGGGGAGACAATAACCTGACGGACCAGTTGCAGGAAACAAAATACGCTAAGAATTGCGATGGGAGACATATAAAGAAGTGGAGGATCTATCGGTTTTGTGAGGAAAGAAAAGATGAGAGGTCAGTGTGTTAGCCTAACTATTAGCCTAAAAATCCGTCATCAGTATTATATGAATCATGATAAAACACGCCTACCATGTTTTGGGTTCCTGAAACTGGTCCGTCGGGTTATTGTCTCCCCAGAAACACTTCCCTTGTGGGTTTTTTTCCTATTTCCATTGTCGTTTTTCCTATTTCCATTGTGTTTTGTGTGCTTTTGCAGCGTTTTTCTTATTGCTGGTATTTCCTTAGGTTGCAGTCCGTTTGGCCTCTCAGGGCCACCGTATGCTCTGCTCAGTGACCCGGGTGTGGGCCAAGCTTTGTCCATCCTGTGGATGGTCTCGTATTTGAATGTAGAATAATTTGGTATATAGAGGAGGTCATTGTTATCTCAATAACTGCAAAGTGACCAGGTTCTTTGGCTGGAAAACCAACCCAAAATATCACCTTTCCACCACCATGCTGGACAGTTGGTGTGGCGTGTTTGTGCTGGAACGCTCTGTTTGGTGTTCATCAATGTTCAGCGATGTACATTTTAGTCAAACATGTCCGCTTTAGTGTCATCTGTCAAAAGACAGATTGTTACAGAAGTTCAGAAGTGGTTTCTTAGGATGTAGCTTCTCAAACCTAAGCCATGCTGCCATGTTCCAAAACATGTTCTCCTGGGAATAACTGACCCTCGTAGAGTCTGAGATGTAGCTTTTCAGCTTTTTGTCCACTTCATTGAAGATGAGAAACTGTCTTTGACTTGTGAATGATCTCTCTTACAGTAAAACGATGGATATCAAATTGCCTGGAAATTGTTTTATAACCCTTCCCACATTGATCGGCCGCAACAATTAATTCTTTACGACCAGTGCTGTTGTCTTTTCTCCCTGGCCTCATGTTAACACACACCTGAATGCTCCAGACCATCAAACTACCAAAACATCTGCTTTTATAGAGGTGCTCACACTTGCTGATGGACAATTAATTAAGTGCATTTATTAGTGACTGTTACTTAATTCCTATGGAAGCAGTCAGGGTGTACTTGGCTTTTCATTCACTGCTCCTGCAGTGAGGTTTAGTGTTGGTTTCTGCAAATAATGACACAGTGGAATATGTCATGTGCTGTTGTTCATCTGTGGTTTTATTTACATCATTTTAAGACCTGACTAAGGATCACCTAGTTTTTTAACGGAAGTCCTCATACTGTATATGAAACCTTATAATTCAAAGACTATATACCACGACTCTATGCACTGCTGCAGTGGTGAATACTCATTTTAAACTAATGCATATGAATCTAAATATCAGGGTCATACAAAGCTGTTCTAGTTGAGTCCAAGAATAATGTTATTGAATTTAAAAATGAGCAAGCAGGTCCCATTTAAGTCTAATTCAGGAAATAAACCAAAGCAAGTGAGGAAAATTAAAAGGGAAAAGGTTGCAGACTGTGACACACAGTTTGACAGAAACTTTCAAACACAGAGGAAATAAACTTAATTAATACATTTAGTAGCAGAACAGTGAAGTGGATCTTTGCACTGTGCAGGTTTTCCCCTCTACCTGCTGCAGGAGATTTTGACTGCTCTCCAGTCCTTCTGTCATTGTAACATTGTTGCTGTTTTAGCTGTTTCAAATCAATATGTTGGCCCGACTAACTGTTGCCAAGGATTCGCTTGATCAATGGTCGGCCTTTACATCACGCGCACGCGCTCTCAGCTCAGCTTCTGAAATAACACAGACGGCAGCTGTTGTTCACCAGATCAATGCTCAGCTTTCTCGAATCAGACGAACACAAAAATGTGCATTAGGTTGTGAGTGGGTAGAATTATGTTAAATTGATTTTGCAACTTGTTAACTGAACGCTGCAAAAGAAAGGTCAGCCCGAGACCAGCTACAGAATCTTAACATTTTACTTTGTGAACCCCATGCTGAAAAAAAGAAAGAATTGAATGTGTGAAAAATGTAAAAGATAGCACAGCCGTGACATATTATTTTTGTACAAACAAGGTGATTCTCAAAGAGCTGTTAGTTGAGACTTGATATATTGCAGCATGGTGTGTGTCCACTTAACACTGACCTGTGAATCATTCAAGCAAAAAAAAAAAAAAAAGGACCTAACTCAACAGATGAATCAGTGTTCTGCCTGCCATAGAACAGACAACTGAGCAAAGAGCCAATTTTAAATTGGATCTTTAAGAACTTTGTTATTTGCAGCCTATCGCATGGCGTGCACTATGCGCTTAAAAAAAATTAAGGAAACTGGTCAAGTGAAGCACAAAAGAAGGCAGCCCTACAAACAGCTGATGAACAGTATCTTCAAGTCTCAGGTCTTAAACAAGAGCTGAGAGATGCATCTGGACCTTCAGTTGATCCACCTTCTGTTTGTCAAAGCCATCAGAAATGGCTCAGTGGAGGGATGGCTGTCAAAAAACCATTCTTAAGGAAGGGAAATAGGGAGAAAAGGCAGAGGTATGCTAAATTACAGAAGAACTGGACTGAAAATCAACAGACCGATTCATCCAAAGTTGAAATATTTGGTTCAAATCGTCAGGTCAGGAGGGAGGTCCAACAGTGAGATCACAACCACCTATAGCATGGAAAATAGGATGAAGACTCTGCGATGGTTTTGAGCTGCATTAGAGCCAGTGGTGTTGGGGAGTTTGTTGCTGGATTTCAATCCATCATACAATACCCTTTAGAAACTGTCGAGTTAAGATAAGATAAGATAAGATAAGATAAGATAAGATAAGATAAGATAACCTTTATTAGTCCCACACGTGGGAAATTTGTTTTGTCACAGCAGGAAGTGGACAGTGCAAAAGTTATTGCACTATTGAGTTGGAAATGGCTTCACTTTCTTAGGATGACAATGATCCGAAACACGCTGTCAATGCAGTAAAAGTGGATAAAAGAACACACAATATAACACTATCGGTCATGGATTGGCCACCTCGGAGCCCAAACCTCAAAATTTGTGAAGCAGTTTGGGATGATCTTGACAGAGAACAGAACAAAAGGAAGCCAACATCCAAAGAACAGCTTTGAATCTCCTTAAAGAAGCCTGGAGAAGGACAAATGTGGTAATACTAAATCTTGACTTTCAAGCCCATTAGATTTGTCCAGTTTGCCTTATATACAGTATTTCCACAAATGTCTACACATGCTTCAATACATCAGAGCACCTGTTTCCCATTTTCTTTGCAAAATATCAAGAAATAATAGCTGCTACTTTATAGAGTACAATGTAGCCCAGATACCCACGTGACTGGGTTTAACTCATCAGAAGAAGAAAGTGGAGAAATAACATGGGTATGCATTTTGCCTTGTGGTACATTCATTATGTAATAAGAGGACAGCAAAAACATTGTCACCACTCTATACTGAGTTTAAATTAATTGGCATCAAAGGTGAGAAACAGCAGCTGATTCTCTTAATGAGACTTTCATAATGAATGCTTAAACCAGACCTGCACAAAGCACGCAGCACTCACATGGATCTGCATCCTTCAGAGTCTAATTAAAGAGAAGGATACAGAGCAGTTTCTTCAAATCTCTCCTTTCATATTAGCAGATATGCCGTGTGAGAGGCAGGCGCAGAAAGAGGGGAGAGAAAAAAAGAATCATCCCAAGCGCCACATAATGAACACAAACAACCTAACACGGGCATGTAATCATGTTACTGGAGCGCGGCCCCCGCTGCCATACAGTGATGAAAACTTTGTTTAGAGAAGTAATTTGTCTTGAAGCGCCGATTTTGGAGCGGGGATGTAATCGTCTTATCTCTTCTGTTTGTCTCTCTCTTCCTCGTCTTTCTGTCGCTCTGCCCCTCTCCTCCTCATGCAGCTTGTGTTCATCCTGACGTAGAAAAACAAAATGCTGCATAAATAAACACCTGCTGCGCATTGAGCTGCTAACATCAATGCCACAGACGTGCCAGTTACTCTGTTATATTGAGCACAAATTGACGCACTGGGTGCAGTGAATTTGTGGTGGTAACATATCTGCACAATGTCACATAACACACTTAGCAACTCCTGTAACCAGCATTCACTGTCAGTTTAGGACCACAAAACATTTAGCCCTCCAACGCTCCAGAGGTTTGTGTGGTTTTTAAAATGCTTGAAACATCTGTTTTAATGCTAATTGTCATTTAATATCAGATTATTTGTTTCTGTTAAATGTTGCTTTAAAACCTTGGACGCCTCTTAGGAAAACTACCCTAACTTCGCTGAAGTCACAGAAGAAACGTTTTTGGTAAACTACAGTCGGTAAGTAAGTTAGAACTGAGCGTTAACTAGGTAACGGTTTTGTCATCACTTAATATTTATGGATACACTTATATGTACATCTTATTATATTATTATTTAACAAAACTCCCTCTTCTTCAGCCATATTTTTGATTGTTATTTCAATGCATTCTACGGTGGCCCTGAGAGGTCAAACACACTGCAACTTAAGAAAACACAAGCAGATAATAAAAGATAAAATAAATATATAAAATATGAATAGAACACAACTGGAATAGAAAAAAAATGCTTCACAAAAAAACAATAAAAACACCCTACAAAATACAGCAGAAGTGTTTTTGTGGAGACAATAATGTTACAGAGCAGCTGCAGAAGTGACAAGCTAACAGTAAACGGCTAATAGCAAACATGTATCTACAGTATTATATGCGTCGTGTGATTAAAACAACAAACATTATCCACATCTTTTTCTCCCTCACAACACCGATGAATCCTTCACTTTGTTTAAGTGTGTCATCATTCTAATGTTTCCATTTCTATCATTCTGCAGCTGGTCCGTCACGTTATTGCTTCCCCCAAAAACACTTCTGTTGAGTTTTGTAGGCTTTCTCAGCATTTTTCTATTTTCCTGTGTTTCCTTAAGTTGCAGTGCATTTGAACTCATGTTTCGAGCTTGTCATGGTCACTTTACACTTAAAAGAAGCAATTTGTTGCACATCTATATTAAATAGTAGCACAATAGTGCTATTTACATTTACTTTTAGCCAGAGTTTGGAGACAATGGCTGAAGAACTGTTTATCTTCTCTTGAATATAATACACTTAAATACTTTTTGCTTTGTGGTGCTTGTACTCAAAATGAATGAGTTGCCCTAACTTAGTCACCTTAAACGAGCTGTACTTAGTTATTCAAAGGCAGCGAGTTTGCATAATTTGTTCAAGTTCTGGAAACTAATCGCGTTTTATACTGTAGTGCCCCAAAAAACATAACTCATCAGCATATGTCTCACTGAAATTATGCTCCACTTACGGTATTCTTAAAATAAATAAATAAAAAAACATGAAATTGAAATTGAAATTATTTGACATGTTATTCATGCCATGCTGGAATGAATCACTAGATTTCTCACTATTGTAATGCCTTCTTACAATCCAGAAAGCCTAGCTAGGACTCACACATATATTGTAATTTGCTAATAAATAACAAATGATTGTCATGTACACTGCAAAACACAATGGTTACACTGAGCAATGAAAGTCTGTGTAAGTACTCTTCACGAATTAACAGACAAAGCTTACATTAAATTTATATAAATAAATAACAGACATTAAAAAATACATTAAATAAATTAAATAAAGAATTGAATCAAAATATAAAGTGTGTTAGTTCAGCACTATTACAATGATACGACTTTGAGAATGCATTTTTATATAAAATTATATTATATTGTGTGCAAATTTGCCAATGCACAGGCCAATATTGTTCAGTAATCAGTCGGGGATTCAGTAACTTTACACTGAATGGGTTTTGCAGTGATGCTTTAAATTTTTTAAACATTCTTGCAAGTATTTCAATGCCCAGACCCCCTTCAAACTCAAGTTTCCATCTCCTTCCTTCTCCTCTTTCCCTCTGCTCCCAGCTATCTTCACCAATGAGCAGTCAGACCAGCATCAGGGAGGTGGCCTCTCCATCTCGGCCCAATCAGAGGACATTTCTGGATGATGTCATATTAACGTTCACCTCACCAATGGCCTGGCTGATGGTCGTGGCCCTTATCATCACGTGGTCAGCAGTGGCTATCGTTTTGTTTGATCTGCTCGATTATAAAACTCTGGCAGGTAACGGCTGTTTACTTTTCTTCTTAAAAATCCCGAACTTAATTCAGCATTTTATTCTCATAATTTTATTATTTAACTGTTTATTATTATATTTTATTATTAACTGTTATCATGATGTGTTTGTAATGTTTTATAATGCCTAATGACGCTTTCCTTCCACTCATCAATCACCCATTTTCCACATTTCACACTTCCATATTTCATCCGAGCATTTTCCAACAAGACTTCAGACATTTTTGAAGCAAACTTCAAAAGTGGACATCATTTTCACCGAGTCAAACTATGGGACACACACCATCTCCTTGTTGCTTTCACCACATGTGCCTCGACATGTGTGTGTTTTGCTTTAATGCCAGTTCTGTTCAGAGTAACGCGAGGTGTGTTTCCCATCTTCTTGACACATACTGGTTTAGCGAATGCATTTTCTCCTGTTCACATACTCAGTTAAACTTTAACATTAATTAGTCTACCTTTTTCTTAGCTTATTTATCAGGGCAGTAGCTCCTCATTTCCTCCTAAATATCACTCATACGGCCGTAGAATGGATCGAAAGGGTGCGTTCTGGTGTTAACATGCATACTAATAATGGAGTCACAGGGGTTGATTACAGCATTGAGCCGTACAAAGTAAAATGATTCATTTAATAACCTGCTTAATGTGGACATCAGTGGAATCCTGTGCAGCGGCTGTTGCCACATTACACAAACGGGGAGCAGCTTTGTTTTCTCATATATTTTTTTAATCCCTTTATCTCCATTTCATGACTTAATTGTCTCGAGTAATCACATTTTGTTAGCTTTGATCCGGCTTTAATTGCTTCATTGTCATGAGATAACAGGAAATGAATTTCCCTGAGATCACAACCACACTGCTGATTGAAGTGAATGCAACAGTGAAGATCTCTGCTTAAGCATTTTCAGTTCTGCTTAAGGCTTGCAAATCTGTAGAAAGCTGTTAATTTATATATTAGGGGAAACGTCCATTGCAGTAAATCACAATAATATAGCACGGAGACACGGCGGTGCAGAGCTGAACATTACACTGCTTTCACTTTGAATTCATTCTCAAAAAGGCAAAAACAAATTCCAGCCGCACTTTAAACTCATTTCTAAAATTCACTGTTTCCTACGTTATATCTTTAGTGTTTATTCCTGGAAAAAGAAACAAATTGTCTAACTGAGAAACTGCCATTTTCAGAGAGGATTATTTGGTGAATTTTCTTGACTCAGATCAGCAACTTCCTGCAGCAGCAGCAGCTGATTGCTTGGCAACTGGTTGTGTCAAAAATAACCTCAGCACAAGACAACAAATTCTCGTTTTACGCTTCTGTTTTAGCACATCAAAGTTTAACACGTTAAAGTGTTATTTTAAGTAATTACTGGCAAGTAGAGCTGTCTTTAAGCTAAGCTAAAGATGTCGCTTCTTAATTATTGGATATAAATGTCAGGATAAGACTTTAGAGTCTGACCCAGATTGTATTTTAGGGTTTGCCCTCATTTCAGATTATTAAGGCTGATGTTTTAAAAATGTTTTCATGCACATATTAATGCACATTGTCATAATGAAATAATAAAAATAAACAAAAAATTTGTAATATTAGCGTATCTCACATACATGGATGCCAGTATCTTTAGCTGGCCGGTATCAGCAGAAATTATCGACCAGCTGAATTCTTAGTTGAGCTTCACAATCTTCTCATCCAGTTCTCAGGCAGGAGTCTGTAAAAGTGTATTTCCTACTGTCCAAGTTGATTAAATACTCAGAACTCAGTTAGGGTGAATCCACTGGTATGCATGTTAACATTGTCAGTGTAAACTTGTAATTAGCATTTAATCCATAACAGGTTTGATATTTATCTTGAAATGAAGACTGTTTCAGTCACACCTTTAGTCTAAATGAATGTGTTTATTTTCCACTGATAGCATCATTGTATCCAGTACACTTTGTGTCTGCTTCTTCTGAAACAGTGTTAGTTTCAATAATGAAACTATTGTCTTTTAATTGTGTGGAAGGGAGCTGGGTTGCAGTTTCACCCTATACATTTTTAATATCTCATTCATCTTGGTCTTATGCTTTAGTTCATCTACCCGGTCATGTGAACAGTCTGCTCATATTTGTCCCAGCTGGGCATTCGACACATGCAACACAAACTGTACGCAGTCCTGTGGGGTTGTCGCTGGAGGTACCGCCACATGTTTGATTTGGCAGAATTTTACACTGGATGTTCTTTGTGACAAAGCCCTGAGGGGGATTTGTGTCTCAAACCAGTGACCGTTCATTGCCAAACAAATGCGTTAACCACTACATCTCGTGATTAAATAACTTGTAGAACCATCTTTAGCTCGAATCCCTTGAGGTAAATTTTTTCTAAAAAACTTCATCAGCATCTCACATTGTTGTGGAGGAGTTTTAGTTCATGCTCCTTTTTTGCAGCATTGCTTCAATTAATTAATGATTATAGCATTTCTTTATGCACAAGTCTCTTAAGATCCCATCGAAGCATTTCAGTCAGGTTGGGGTCTGGATTTTGACCGGGCCATTGCAACACCTTGATTCTTTTCTTTTATCAGCCTTTGTGCTGTGTTTGGGATCATTGCCCTGTTGTTTGACCCAGTCTCAGCTAAGCTCTATCCGTCCGACTGATGTCTCCACATCCACTCCGGAATACTTTGGTATACAGAGGACCCATGGTCCATGCAGTGAACGTAAGGTGCCCAGGTCCTGTGACTAAAAAAAACAAACCCAAATTTTTACTGATGAGGTGTTTGGTTTGGGCCAAACATCTCTGCCTTGGTCTTGTGTGTCCAAAGAACATTTTTCCAGATCTTTTGTGGTTTGTTCAGAAACAACTTTGTAAACCTGAGCCATGCTGCTATGTTCTTCTTAGAGAGAAGAGGTTTTCTCCTGGAAGTCTTTCAAAATAAGCCATACTTTTTCAGTCTTTTTCTAATTGTAGTGCTACGAACTTCAATATTTAGCATGCTAACTGAGGCCTGTAAAGTCTGAGATGTAGCTCTTTGGTTTGTTGCCGTTTCTCTGAACACGATCAGACCTTTGGGGTTAATTTGCTGAAATGTCCCCTCCTGGGAAGGGTGGCAGCTGTCTTGAATGTTTTCCACTTGTGAAGCCTCTTTTGCACCGCAGAATACTGAATTTCAAATTGTTTGGAAATGGCCTTATAACCCTTTACCAACTGATGGGCAACAACTGCCTCTGTAAGATCCCTGCTGTTGTCTTTCCTCCTTGGCAATGTGTTAACACACTTGAATGCTCCAGACCGGCAAACTGTCAAAACTTCTGCTTTTATCAAAGTGAAAACACTTGCTGATGATAAATTAATGAAGTGCAATGAAGCACCTGGCTGTGGAAGAAAAATGCGAAAAAAGGCTGTAGGTAGAGTAAACGTCCCCTAAATAAAAAGAATTGATTTGGTTTTCTTTATTTTTTCTTTTTATACCTACTGGTACGTTCTTTTGCTCTTTTTTTAAGTTTTTTGAAGCCATAAAAGAATAATAACTAACACTCGGCAAACTTAAATAAGCCAAGTATAACTGAAAGTTAAATATCAAACTGCAACTGAGCTTCCCTTTCTTTCCGTGTACAACAGCGACATAGTGACCCTTCTATCTATTCTACTCTCCCACCGGTTGCTACTACACATCACCCTCACTATCCTACAGTGTAAGGATAGGCCTGCCTCACACATCCAACACACTCATCTCTAACTCCTCTCCTCACTTTTCCCCTTTCTTTACCCCACTCCACTCCACCCCGCCCCTCCAATTCCCCTCCATGCTCATGCTGTCAATCACCTGCCATCCCATCCAAAGACTACACCTCATACTGTGACGACCCCGTGTGTTTACCTCCTGGTAAAACCAACAGCAAAAACACTGTTTGACTGCTCCGCTTGCTTTCAGAGTGTTGACTGCAGTTGTTCAGAGTCAAATCTGGATAGATGTGATTTTTGCTCAGCATGTTTTTCTTTAGTTCGGAGGCTTTGACTTTCACCTTTAACGGGTAAATCGACACTAAATCTCAATTTTTTAAGAGGCTAATAAGCTATAATAGCTTTTTACATTCTGGATTTCCCAAATCTCACTTGCAGAACAAATGAACCTCCATCTAAAACGATGTACATTTTCACCCACATTAATGAATCCACTGATCCCAGTGGTCAGATTGGGATGATTGCCCTTACATGCCTCTTAAAATGTATTTGAAACAAGTCTTAAAGACTAAAGCACCTAAAGACTCCAGACAGTCAGTCTGTTTGGAGAACAAACGGTTATTTTACTCGCTCTTTAAGCTTAAGGCACACAGTGTCGATTTGCCCTGATGTCAAGCCTTTGTTCATTTACTTTAGATTCACTGGAATTCAGTCTTGTTCTGTTCTGTCACCAAGCGCAAAGAGTCTGCATTTATCAAGGCCCACGGATGGGTGGCAAATTAAAGGAAATGAAGGACAGAAAGGTATTTGGCTGTCACAAGCGTCCAGAATAGACTCAGTGCTCCTTGACATCATTCCTGCACTTTACTAAAACGCTGCTCCTCCAAAATCCATTTCATCATTTGGTGTTTTCATTTGGCAATTGTGGAGAGCACTGTCCCTGGCCTTGAACCTCCCAAATGGTTTGAGAAGTGCTGACTGAAGTCCACTGTTTTAATTAAAGCATTAAGTGACCCAGTGTTCGCTTTCAGTTTCTCCAATCATTTGCACAGCTTTTATTTTTCTTTAGTTTGTTACCCATCAGCGTGTCCTCGTTCTTTCCTAGTGTTGTGCATAAAGACCAGCATGTGTACTGCATGCTTGTCTGGACTTTCTGAGTGATGATTAATGTAGTGCATGATTCCATGACTGCTAACGTCATAATTCAGGATCATTTTAACGTAGAACAATAACAGAGTCCTTCAATGAGAGTTTACTTGTTTATGAAAGTTACCCATCTTTATATAAGTCAAGGAAACCTTTTGCCGAGGGGCTAGACCGGAGAACCGTAGTACACAGGGATTCTCTAGACGCTCAATGTAGGATGTACATGATAGTTTTTCCCTTTCATCCTTTCAGTTTTTGAAGCAAACATTTCCAAGGTGAAAAATGACAAAATGCTGGGCTCAATTTAACACAAGGCATTTCTTCCATCACAACGTTTCAGCAAAGAACAGCGTGTGTAAATGAAACAGCTACATTTTAAGGGTTATCAAAGAAGAAATACAGTTGTAGAGTTTTTTGTTTTTTGCATTTCAGATCATCAAACAAATTTAAATATTAGACAAAGATAACACAAGTAAAGACAACATGCAGTTTGCAAATTAAAGTGTTTATAATCAAGGGAGGAAAAATCCAAACCTACACGTAGCCCTGTGTGAAAAAGTAATTGTCCATGTTGCTAAATCATGAATTAACTGTGATTAACTGCACTTATTGGAAAGCTAAATTTCATTTAAATAGAAGCTTTCTGACAAAGTGAGGCTAAAATATCTCAAAAAGCAACGCATCAAGCAACAATTTGGAAGGTTTGAGTCCCAATACAACTGCTATAAAATATTACAGCAGCGGTCAAACATGGTGGTTGTAGCGTGATGGTCTGGTGGCTTTGCTTCTACGGTACCTGGATGATTTGCCATATTGATGGAAACATGAATTCTACTCTCAACCAAACTCCTGATGGAAATATCCGGCCACAAGTTCCTGCTCCGGAGTTCATGCACACTCAGGACAATGATCCGAAACACAGCAGCAAGTCCTCCTCTGAATGGCTCAAAAAAAACAAAATGAAGGTTGTGGAGTGGCCTGGTCAAAGTCTGGGTTCAAATCTGATCGAGCTGCAGACATAAATACCTTGTCCCCAAACCTTCCAGTCTGGCTCAAATTAAACAATTCTGGAAAGAATGGTGGGCCAGATTCATCCACAGCGATGTGAAAGACTTATAGCCAGTTATTGCAAACACTTAATTGCAGTTCTTGCTGCCAAGGGTGGCACAACTAGTTATTAGGTTTAGGGGGCAATTACTTTTGAAAAACCTTGGAAAACTTTTTCCCCCTGAAATTAAAAACTGCATTTTAGATTTACTCAGTTTATCCTTGTCTAATATTAAAATTTACTTGATTATATGAAACAAGTCTGACAAAAAAAAAGGAAGTAAATAAATCAATAAATCAGGAACAGGACAAATCATCTTTCATAGCACTGTATGTAAAAATATGCAAACTCAGTCTCTTGTGAGCGATGAATAAAAACCCTTTGAGCATTTAAGACTTAAATGTATAAAACCATTTGGTGTCTATCTGACTTTGGTAATAGTGCTGCAGATAATGCGGGTTAGGGTAGAGTGAAAAGGTTGAGGAACTGAAATGAAGTCTTCCTCTTGGCAGCTCCATCTTCAACATCTCTTGCCCAATATATCCACCATCCCTCCTCTGCACATGTCCAAATAATCTCAGCCTTGCCTCACTAACTCTGACTCTAAACCACTCGACCTGAGCTGTCCCTCTGATGTATTCATTTCTAATCCTGTCCATCCTGGTACTCCCAGACATTGTGGATATAAAGGATACAAAGGATGTTGAAGATGGAGCTTCCAGGCAGGAGGAAAAAAAGAAGACCTCAGAGCAGATTGATGGACATAGCGAAGGAGGACATGCAGAGAGTTGGTGTGACAGAGGAAGACTCTAGGGACAGGGTGAGATAGAGGTAGATGATCTGCTGTGGAGGCCCCTAAAGGAAGCAGCCAAAAGAATAATAATAATAGGAAGATACTTTCACATATAGGATTTTGCTGCTCTCAGGTTCAGTAGTGATATTGTGTAAAGTTTCAAATACATCCCAAACACTTACAACTCTACTTTAGGCCACAATATTTACAACACTCTGACCAAAGTCAGTTGGCTTTGATAAATGTATAAAACCATTTGGTGTCTAAGTCTTAAAAATGAAAGGTCATAAAAGCTGAAAGGGTTTTTACTCATTGCTCACAGAGTTAAAGTGATCGCTCACTCTGTATGTTTTGACGTGAAAGAAAGAAAAAGTTTTGTTTTAGTCTTTTGCACAGGTGAGTCGGCATTATGAGAAATACCTTGACTGTTTTGATATCTGCTTTAGGAGTGGAGAGGATGATGTTGCTGATGTGAGTATCGCACCAGAGCAATCTAGAAAAACTGCACGAAAAATATGGGATAACATACGGAATTAGAAAGACAGAGACCCCCACACTCTCAGGGACATACTCTATAACAAAGGCAATTCAGAAGAAAGTAAAAAACAAAAATAACAAAAGCAGGAATGGAAAAATGCAGAGATGCGTGAGAAATGCAAAAGCAAAAGGTGTCACGTCTCAGCTGTGTGTTAGGCAGGGAAGGACCCAAAATGCAGGACTTGGCAGACAAAAGTATAAATGAAAACAGCTTAATTGCTGAACCCTTGCAAAAAATACAAAATTAACTTATACCAGGAGCTAGTAATCCAACAAACAGAAGTATGCAGGGAAAGATTGAAGAAGGACTCAAACAGGCTGAGGACGATTACGATAAAGAGCAGAATGAGATCAAATATTGACAGGGAACAGTAACAGGTGGGAACAAGACTGAAGCGACCAATGAGACACAGAAAGCAAAACTAAACAGAAAGCACACAAAACGAGAGACTATCAAAATAAAACAGGAAATGACATACAGACATAGAAGAGGATTACACTAAGCCAAGGGGAGGGAAAGGGGGGGAGTCAACAACAAAAGCAAGGAGGAAACTACAGGTCAGGTGTCGGACATTGGATCCACTTAATCACAGGAATTGTAATATATTTCCATAACCAGAAGACTAAATAATAAAGAATAAAGAACCAGAATACAAAGCCAAAAACTCCCCAAGAATTTCAGAATATTCCAGGTAGGAGGAAGGAAGGAAGGAAGGAATGAAGGAAGGAAGGATAGAAAGAAAAAATAAATATTCTCTTGTATCATTTCTTTTCTCTTATCCAGTTTGTTTTTGTCTCTTCGAACTCTGCGCTTTTCTTCTGAAGTTTTTTTTTTGGGTGTTTTTTGTCAGAGCCCCTTGGGTTCCCGTTTTTAAATCTCTGTTGCACAATTTGTATTTTTCATCTATATTCTTTGTGTTTTATCATTTTGATGTGGCTGCTAAACTGCAGTAAACTAAAAACATAGCAAAAACAAAAGGCACAAGAGAGAAGAAGAGTCAGAAGATAAGCACATGAAAGTGAGAGCGTGAGAGAAAATAGATTTAAAGAGGAGCGAAGTGGAAGAGAGATGTGATTGGAAAAGAAAGAAAGAAAGAAAGAAAGAAAGAAAGAAAGAAAGAAAGAAAGAAAGAAAGAAAGAAAGAAAGAAAGAAAGAAAGAAAGAAAGAAAGAAAGAAAGAAAGAAAGACAAAGAAAGGTGGAGCGGAAGGGAAACTGAGTGACAGAGTGACAGCAATCAAAAGAAGGAGAGGGAGCGTTAGCAAGGGAGAAAGCTGGCCTCCTGTTCCCTGTCTCTCTGGCTCTGTGTCTGCAGTGCCAATCAAAGAAATGTCAGTGCATTAATCAGTTGTTTTATGAGGCTCCATTAGCCTATGCACCTCCTCCGCACTGGGCGAGAAGCAGGCTGAAAGCTTCCTCCACCTGGGAGAGAGAGACTGAAAGAGATCCACGGAGAAAATCCAAACAATCCATTTAGCACTCCAGAGCCAACAGTTATCTAAATGCAGAGTATTGATGAATGTGCTAATTCCAACATGTTCCTCAGAGAGGCAGATGCAAAACACCTGCACTGCAGCGGCAGCATATGATTACAGTTTGTTTTAAGGACTTTTAGCAGCTTAATAACAGGTAATAGTTTCAGGACCAGAGAAACCAAAATAAAAATTAATATCTGGCTGCTTGCAGATATATTCAGGCAGAGCAGCGACAGGTCACACCTTAATCAGCTGATTGCACATGAGATCAGGTCATTTAAAGCTCACGTGTGCAGCTCAGTAAGACAATAAACAGACACAGCAGCAATTACTGGACAGTTTAAGAAAGAGTTAAAGAAGCTGTGACACACAAACAGCCTTTAAAGTAGACAAAAAAAAGTGTTGAAAGGCACAGAGGGGAGGAAGCAGAAAACAATATTCCAGCGTCATGTCTTCATAATGCTTCTCGTGCAGCATTTGATTGCAACCTAATCACTCTCGTGTTCAGTGATCCAACCTAGAAATCACATTACAGTTTCTATTACCGTAACGAGGAAACATTTAGCTGAATGTGTGTTTAACTAATGCATTTGTCGTTAATAGATGGCATGCTTCATTCATTCAACAAAACACCGCCTCTGAATGTAATCCAGAGCACCATTACAATCATTATGGGAATAATAGTTTAGCTGGAAATGCAATTTGTAGGAAACCGGGGGCCCAATTTCCTGTGGAAAAAGGTAATCCTTAAAATGACACAATTGGAGAAAAATACGTATCATTTGGTACCTTGGTGGCCCTCTCGGAGAGGTCGCCCTTTATAAATGTTTTTAGCTGAGGTAAGTCCATTGGTTTCATTGCTAATAATTGTGTGTTGTTGTTAAGCTTGATTGAAATCTCCATTTATTTATTTTTTAATTCAGAGACATCAAATCTTCTTATTGAATTCTTATATTTGATCTTAATAAAAATGCATCCACCATCCCATAATCCCCTTCTGCTTTTACTTCTACTTGACCTGTCCTCTTTGACAACTCCAAACCTTTATCTTAATAGATTTACCATCGCCAAAAAATAAAACAACAAAATATCTTACTGGAAAAACAGTGGCTCAGTTTCCTGACAGATCATACAACTTTAGAAAACTTGACTTCAGCTTTAAAGAACAATTTGACCCAATTTGGAAAAACACGGTCGTCGTTCTTATGATACCCGGCGTGCATTTAAAACAATAACATGACAAAATCACCTGCGAGACTCCCACCATTTTTGATACACACAACCCACCTCATCTCCTTCACTGTTTCTTTGATCTTTTATTCATCGGCAAATAAATAAATTAAAAAGGTGTGTGTGTATGCGTGTGCAAAAAAAAAGTAAAAAAAACAAAACAATGGGCCATGGGCCATGTTCATAGCAGCCTGTGGAGTGAATTTGTGGACGACTCTGGGGGGGCGATTTGACAAGATGAACAAATATAAATCAGTTTTTAAAAAACACTTGTAGAGCAGTTTATGGTTGAGGCAGAGTGTTTAATATTTCAGGTATTTTTGATACTGAGCAGATACCTGGGTTGCAGACTGCAGAGAATACAGTGGATCTACTGTACATTAAATATTGATAATTTTATATAATATATATGACACATTTTTAAAAAAGCAATACTTTTGGCAGAGTGTAGATATAATAGTTATACATAGATATTAATAAAACAAGGGACAGTGTATTAGACCAGTATATATATTTATAGATCATTTATATATTAGTCTGTATAATAATAATAATATTTTCATCACATGAGTATGAATATATATTTTTTATGTCACTAACATTTGTTGCTTATTTGTTTGAAATACAGATCCATCCATTCGCTTCCGCTTATCATTTTCAGGGGCGCTGGAGCCTATCCCAGCTGTCATAGGGCGAGAGGCGGGGCACACCCTGGACAGGTCGCCAGTCTATTGCAGGGCCAACACACAGGGGCCGACAACCATTTGCACTCACATTCACACCTAGTGGCAATTTAGATTATCCAATTAACCTCTCCCCACAAGTTGCATGGAAACGGTTGGAGGAAGCCGGAGTACCCGGAGGGAACCCATGCAAACATGGGGAAAACATGCAAACTCCACACAGAAAGACCGCGGCCTGATGGTGGAATTGAACTCAGGACCTTCTTGCTGTGCGGCAACAGTGCTAACCACCGTGCCACCGTGCTGCAGACCTGAAATACAGATCTGATTTTAATTCATATAAGAAATAATTTACAGTGAAATTCATGCTGTGATGATGTCATTATCTTTCTATTTTTGCCTCTGTATGCCACCACAGTCCACTTTTTTATTTTTTATTTTAGGTCCTTATTTATTGCAGGGATTTATGAACTATTTAGGAATTACAACCACATTTATACACAGAAAAACAGAAGTAATTGGACAACTGACTAAAAAGTGGTCACCTGCTAAAGCCAGTTCTGGTATATTCTGGTATATTCTTAACTCATTCACTGCCAGGGTTTTTGAGCATTTTTACTCATTTTTGAAGGGCCACAGAAAACTGTGTGTTATGATCACATAAACGCTGAACCTACCAAAATGAAGAACAGACTCTCCTCTTCCATCCAAAAAAAAAGCTTGTTTCTACCATTTTCCGTTCTTTAGTAATCAGCTGTAGAAGAGAGGTGGGTTCCACCAAAAATGCCTGTTTTGACCAAAAAAAGGGAGAAAACGAGCTTTTTGTGAAAAATACATTTCAAGCAGTCTGATGTTCACTGACAAGCTGCCCGAGGTTGTATTCTAGCCCCTCCCATTGAAAACGTAATTGACGTCTATAGACGTCAATGGCAGTCAACGTAAGTTTTTCAATTGACGTCTATAGACGTCAATGGCAGTGAATGAGTTATGGCCTGTATTTATATAGCGCTTTACTAGTTCCTAAGGACCCCAAAGCGCTTTACACATCCAGTTATCCACACACACATTCACACACTGTTGATGGGAAGCTACATTGTAGCCACAGCCGCCCTGGGGCGCACTGACAGAGGCGACGGAGTAAAAAATAGACGAAGCTTCCAGCTCTGTAGAATGAAGCCAATGCTAGTCACAGTAAACCTCCACGCTTTTTCAAATCTCCCGGCAGTGATATCTGTAGTTTTCAAAAAAGACTTCTGGTCCTATACAAGTCAAGGACCTACCTGCATTTATATAATAATTCAGTCCTTTTACATTTTTGGTAACTAGTAAAAAACAATTGTGTATTACTGACTTAAAGATTTAAAGATCCAGTATCAGGGTGCTTGTAATGGAAAGATTAGTGAGTCACAACTATTTATATTTGTGCAGATGAGATCAGGGGTGGAAATCCAGGTAAAAATTAATCAGGAATGTTTTAATATTTCTGCAAATTTAATACCGCTGTGGTTTCTTGCTGTGCTCTCATTCCGCATGTGCGCTGCATCATGGAGAAAAAAATGTTTTTTTAATGGAAAGTGTGATTTGTGTTCGGGAGCAGCTTTTTTTCCTTTCTCTTTAACATCTTTGCTGCATTAAAGCGGCAAAGCTGTAACTCTAACGCTATATGTGGCTGAAAACACGAACTATGCAGTCAGGCGCAGAGACGAAGGCTGCTGATCGTTGTTTTTCTCAGCTCTCGTTGTGGATTATCTTTCTATTGTGCGTGTTCTTCCTTTTCCTCTCAGCATGCGTCCTGTGTGTACTTCATACGATGCAGTTTCGGTTAATGTCGTGCTTGTGTGTCTCCCCTCCTCAGGCCTCCCTCCCCCTGCCGCCATTGCGAAGAGAAGTATGAGGACTAGAGGCAAGCAGAGACTTCTAAGCCAGCATACATCACATATACACCCAAATTCAAAACATAAACCTGTCGCATAGTGTACTATACTATGCTATGCTATGCTAGATACTATACTATATAGCATATTGTATACTATGGTAGAATACTAGCATATGGTTGTGAAAACAAACCAAGGCTTACAGAACTGTGACAAACCCCATCATAGTGTGTGAGCTTGAACAGCTTCATAGGGTAAAGTCTTATATAAGTGTCTGTCATATAAAATCTTACTGTTTGGATGTTAAACATGGCCAAAGTTACAGTTGATGACATCAGTCTAATTATTTGTAATCCCCATGAGCCAAAAGCTCAGGCGAGCTTCACACTGGTCTAAACCCTCTGTGTCACCTTGGTTTTTCAACTCTGGTCTCTACACGATATCAGTGGGAGTGGATATTCGAACACACAGCTCTGACTGTGAGGTCAAAAGTGCTTGAGATGGACAGCGAATCAGAAGAAAGCCCTCTTAAAGGGAGAAGAGCTAAAACAGCTTGTTTCCAAAGTCCAAGATCAGATAACTAAGGATTATTTTTGAACTGTGAAAGCAAAGATACTCTATTAGAGTCCAAATAAATACAGGATAGTAAACATTCACTGGCCACTTTATTAGGTATAACTGTTGAACTGTTTGTTAATGCAAATATCTAATCAGCCAATCACATAGCGGTAATTCCATGCAAATTTAGGCACGTAGACAACCTGGTGAAGTTTAAACTGAACATCTGAACGTGGAAGAAAGCTGATTTTAAGTGACTTTGACTGTGGTACGGTTTTTGGTGCAGACAAATGCTTAGAAAGTGCTTAGTTTCGGTCACTTTCTGAGAGAAAGTTACGTTCCAGCGAAACTTTGATTTGCCGTTCTAGTTTAGATAAAACATTAAAATGAAAGGTTCTGTTGTTTAGCTATATACTATTCATTAGATCTTTATCTCTATTCTGCTTTGCTTTAGGTGGAGTTCGTCCAATAAAATCAAGCTCTGTTGGAGTCTCACCTCAGGAGAGCACTGAGTGGCTGGAAATGATGTGGGCATTTGCAGCCAGTCTGGTAGCTCCTGATGAGGAGGAGGAAGGTATTCATCATCTAACCGAAAGCCTCACATGTAAGAAAACATCACCTGACATTAAATTAACCCTCAGTTGTTTGACCGTTATTAACAATTCATGCGATGCTCATCCTGCCTAACGTTTTATCAAGGGCTTAGCTTTTGCAGTAGCTGACTAAGAGGGTTATGATGAATAGACAAAGTGTGCACACATGCCGCTGAGGGCAATTTAAAACTGCATTTAAAACATTTACCGTAGATTCAAAAATAACTAAAAGTCATTCTGATTCACACTGATGGCAGCAGAAAGATGTGCTATAGTTCAAGGCCAATCAAAAGGCAAACAATCATTCCTTTATGCACCCAGTCTTAAACTGATTGCTGGGTAATGTCAGCCATTTATTTTCATGCATGTAAAGGAAAGTTTGTCGTATGTGTCGCTCACCATCTGGCAATATTTAACTTTGAAAATTTGTTTTTATGAACTCTGTTTCTTGCGTATCAGCTTTCCACTCAGAGGAACTCTGAAGGACAGGAAGTGGAAAAGAACCAGAGCTGGAGGAGAGAGGACAGAAAGGTTGAGACGGCTGTTACAGTGTTGCACATTAAATCGCAGTAATGTTTTTTCTGTCTGTTGTTGAGCGGTAACTGATGATTTAATTTGATGAATAAAAGATTCCAAATTGAAACCTTTGCGCTTTTTTTTTTTTTTTACACATTATGATCGTCATGTCTGTGTGTCTTCTGCTTGTAGTTACTGGACTATTTGATCTAAAATAGGTAGATTGTTTTTTTTAATCAAATCACATTACATGTTCCCTGTGTTACCATGGAGACATAAAATGACAAAATGTAAGGTAATGAAATGAAACACTCCTGGCTTCCACCTCCACCATTGCAACATCCAAAAAAGGAATTTATTGCTCTTTAACAAAAGACAGTCACCTCTCATGCGTCCAGCATTACAACAGCTCATGAGTGTCTCTGCCTTTGATTTTATGCCTTGACACGAGCACCCATAAGTCTGGCCCTTTTACCAGGACTTGTGAGTTGGAGCACGTCTTTCCAAATGCTTGTTGTCTAGAGAACAACACCCCTGGAGCAACAACCGCCTCAGCCAATCAATGCTTATGATTTCCTTGCCCTTCTGCCAGTGCCAGCAAAACAAACAAGTAAAATGTCTGACCCTGGGCAAGATTGTCAAATCAGCACCCTGGGCACAAGCTCAGCAGTCCAAGCCACTTGGGACCTATGTGAGTGGCACGTGAAAACCTTTTTAAGTGTTCATCCTCAAACACATAAGTATGTACTGTAGACTATGTTTGTGTTTTTTGTTTTTAATGCAGAAGCGCTCTGAAAAAAGGAAAGGAAGAGGAAAGATGGAGTTAATCAAAAGGATACCAAGAACCTCTTAAAAAGCAGAGGAGGAGAACAGGTTAAAGACAGATACATAAAGGAGAAAACAACTCAGTCATCCTTTTCCAAAACATCATGAAAAAAGCTCCAGCTGCTTCATTTACGTTTAATTTTACATTGTCATACACTTTAAGGGTAAAGCAGTACTGTGATGATTACTTTAGTTAGTTACTGGCTTAGTTTGATGGGTAATGGGTAAATACAACCTTAGGTCAACTACAAAACATGACATATTACAAAGTGAACAAAGTGCTGATACCAAGAACCTCTTAAAAAGCAGAGCAGAAGAACAGGTTAAAGAGAGATACATAAAGGAGAAAACAACTCAATCATCCTTTTACAAAACATCATAAAAAAAGCTCCAGCTGCTTTGGCCCAAATTGCATCATGCAACACAATAATGGATTGGATTTATATAGCACTTTTCAAGGCACCCAAAGCGCTTTACAATGCCACTATTCATTCACTCTCGCATTTACACACTGGTGGAGGCAAGCTACGGTTGTAGCCACAGCTGCCCTCGGGCAGACTGACAGAAGCGAGGCTGCCATATCATATCGCGCCATCGGCCCCTCCGGCCAGCACCAGTAGGCGGTAGGGTAAAGTGTCTTGCCCAAGGACACAACGACCAGGACAGAGAGGCCGGGGATCAAACCAGCGACCTTCCGATTACAGATGCGCTTCCCAACCCCGTGAGCCACGTTCGCCCCAAGCACAGCGGCAAATCTACAGAAAAGTGGTTGAAAAGCATCAAGGTGTTGCAATGGCTGAGACAAAGTCCAGACCTCATCCTGAGTGATGGGATCTTAAGAGAGTTTTGCATAAACAAATGTCCACAAAATGAACCAAAGTAACAACGTTAAGAAGAGTGAGCCAACATTTCTCCATTATTAATTAATTAACAATAATAATTCATGAGTGTTTCACCTTGGTCTAGATGGTCTAGCACCTACACTAGCTAGTAAAAGTAAAATAAAAATGCTCTTTTTGAGTCAGATATTACTAAACATATGCGTTAAAATTGAACAGCCTTGGGATTCATTTGCATTTAGCTAAATTTTAGCCAATGTTTAACTTTTTAGCTAAGGCTATGGAGGTTATAAAAATCTGTATTTATTACACCACTCCAGGACAACTTGGTGTAAACACCAAACCGAGTTTATTTGGGTACTCCAGAACCGTGGCTTTTACATACAAAACCCAAGCAAGCTTTTCTCTTTTTTTACAGAACATTATTCTTTTCTTTTTGCCGTGACTGCCCTCTACTGGTGGAAACATGTAGCAGCCAAAAAACCCAAACATATAGCTGAATAGCCCAAATACCAACAGATTTATGCAATGTTTTAGACATATTTTAGCTTTACACTTTACCAAGTGCTACATATTGTTGGTTTTTAAATTGTTTTAATCATCAGTTTTGGATACTGGTAACCTACCTAGCTCATCTGCATCAGCTAATGTTCTTTTAAAGTACAAAAATGCTAATGAGCTAATTCTAACTTCCAGTCCTTCAGGCATTTTAACATCTGTGAATCCAGCATAAACTAAACTAAAAACCTAAAAAGTTTGGTGAATATACTGTAGATGGTTGCAACACTATTGCATTGATAAAAGGCTGCAGTAAGGCATATAAATACTTAAAGATCACACACATGCACAAACATACACAAGGTTATTACAATACCAGCCGTGCTGCTGCAGCTGGTAACCAGTATTTTGGGAATGAGTTTCCAGTATAATGAAATCATGAACTTAAATTGAAATTATAATGAAATCATAACTTTGTTGCAGCTGTAATGGATTTTAAGCACGCTGGGGTGAGCACATTGGTGTAGTAGAAAATCTAACTGAACAGGGAGTTGATTCACTAAATTACATTGCATTATCCATTATTATCTATTCAAACCATGCTTAGGAAGAGTTTTAAATAGAAATTATGCAAGACAGTTTTATCCCAGGCTTTTTCTCATCATTGCATGCTTATAGCTATAAGTGAATATGAAAAATAGTCACTTACCTTAGGAGAGGTTAGGACTTTTAGCATCCATTCTCTCTAATGCATACTATAACCAGATGATGATTTAGTAGCTAATGATGACTAGTGTTAATGAAGTTTGATTATATACACCACCTTAAACAAAAGGACGCAGTATGAGAAATGGGATTGCTTTACAATGATCACATTACTGCGGATTAAATGAAGAATTTAGTAAATGGGGAAATAAGCTTGTCCACTTTATTGCAGAAAAATTAGATAGTAAACATAAAAAAGGGAGCAACTCTAAACTCTTGGATTAGCATGTTGTAAGTCTTTTTGCGTCGATTAACAGGGCATATGTGGTTTTTCTTGGATTTTCTTAACTTCAGAATGATCTTCATCTTTGAGTTTTTCTTTAAAATAAATGAAATACATATTTTGTAATAACAGGGTGTATTAGAGGTGCAGACAAACAGAAGCAGCAAAGGAAAATACATGGGTATTTGCCAAGCTTGCGTAAGCCCACTCTGTGCTGCCACACCAGGTGCCTTTTGAGCAGCGGATCGATTCAAATATCGACAGGACTGACGTAACTATTAAGCTCTAGATTTCAGTTTAGACTGTGTTTTCAGTTGTTTTGTGTTTAGTTTCCCGAGCCCCACCACAAACTGTGTGAGTTCTGAATCAGTCTCAGGGTCTGCAATTTGGGTCCGCTAACTGCTAGCAACACGTTTACACATGACAGTCAAAGAAGCAAAAATAAGTAATGTTTTAAGTCTTTAACTTGCTTTTAATATTTGTTGTTCTGCTACTAATGTGGGTGTATATTATTTAACTGTAGGCATAACACACAGATGCACGAGGGCCATGTATTACTCCAGTGAGTCCTCCTTATTTTTCCTCCCCCAGCCAACAGCAACCCCGGCACAAACGTTCCTACCACTTATCATTTACCTGATACTACTTTTCTATTTTAGGATTTAATATATTACAGTGTGAAGCTAGAGTGGTGTGGTCATGTGTGAAGTAAGTGCTGTTGGAGATCCTTTTAAACCTCCCCCAACCTGTGCATGCTGATAGAATTATAACGCACCTGACTGGAAAACACTGTAGAGCTTCTATCCAGTTACTCTAATACAGGGGTGTCAAACTCAAATACGTAGTGGGCCAAAATTCAAAACTGGAACAAAGTTGTGGGCTAACATTAACATTTATTGAAAAAAAAATCTTCCTCCAGATATAAGAATGAATCTTTTCTTATGGACTCAAATAAGTTTTGCTGGAAAACTAAATATGGAACAAGCAAAGCTTAATACTAAACAATATATATATTAGCTGTATAATACCAGTAGGCCAGCTCTAATAGTAATTTGGTATGGATTCGCGGGCCAAATGTAATTAGGCTGCGGGCCAAATTTGGCCCGCGGGCCAGAGTTTGACACCTATGCTCTAATACATTTTTTTTTAACTTAAATTATCACCAAAATATGAACTTCTTATTATTTAAGCCCCTAAATAGGAGGTTTTTCAAGGCTTTCTTTTGTCTTCTTGCTATGTTGTCTCTTCTGTTTCTTTTCTCCCTTTTCACTAATATCTGATGGAAAGTGAGCTGAAATGTCAGCTTTTACTTGTTTTTGGCATCAGATTTCAACCAGAATCTCTCCATTTACTGCGGCGTGAAAAGGAGCAGTGCCCGTTGTTGTGGTTTCATTACCGGTTTCACAATGTAAATGATATTCAATTTCATCAGCAAGATAATGTGATGAGGTAAGGGCGGTTAATCTTTGAATAATTGACAAAAAATACCGACAGACACACTCGCGCGCACGCACACACCTGCCTTTAGATTCCCGGCAGTAAGAGC